GTAGATGAAGAGCCTTCTACTTCACGGATTCGACGACGGAGGGCGTGCGCCGATGAGCCAGTCAGCCTGTGACCACGGCCGGTGCAACCTGGTCGAAACGTCAGGCAAACCAGAGGTATGTAATACCCTAAATAAGAGATCGCGTTAATTCCCGTTAAATAATATTAATTATCATGGAACGCGAAAGTTTAAAAGTTAGTACGGAGTGTCACCACCCCTAATCATACCGTGGGAGACTAAGGGAGTAAAATATCCAGGACAACAGCACTGCAAAGAAAAGGAAAACTTGAAACTAACCCTATACCAAACGTGAGCCTAAGGTAGTATTACCAGGTAGTATTTTACCACCAGGTAGCTGTCTATACAAGGAGTAACTTAGGCTCACGTACCGTACTACACCATTAAGGCAGCGCTTTGCAAATTCGAACGAAGTCGTGGGTACCAGCTAGTTTATAATATACTATGGATACGTTCAGTAAAAATATGGGTATTTTCTATATGTGAGTTTTATTCCTTCTATAGCTAATTTCAATTATTAAGGAATCATCATCATCAAAAGCCTTTAACAGTCCACTGCTGGACATAGGCCTCTCCGTAGAAAGGAGGTTTTGGCCTACTATACCGCGCTGGCCAGACGGTTTGGTATAAGGTTTGTGTCAAGTTTTCTTTCTTCCTCTTTTTTTTCTTCCGACCCCTCCTTTATGAAAATTGTATGTGAAATGACCGTTTTATATGAATAATTAATTTTCAGATTATTTATCGTAATTGAGAATATCCATTAAGATGTCATTAGCGATTAGGTGTTTATGGTTTTTTTCATTACTGCCGATCGTATGGATTATGAATACCGTGTTGTTATGTGTTTTGGTAAATATTTATTAAAAATACTTGTAATACTTTAGGCAGAAATGATTATTAACGCAGAATTAATGTCTTTCTTGCTAATAATATGTATAAATATTTTCTTTTATATTTATCAACCTATTTTGCTACTAAAGAGTTCTAGTAATATATATATATATATATATATATATATATATATATATATATATATATATATATATATATATATATATATATATATATATATATATATATAAACTAGCTGACCCGGCAAACGTTTTGCCATATACATTATTTCTAGGATATTGACAAAAAAAAGAAATAAAAAATTAGGGGTGGGTCACCCTTATCATTTAGGGGTATGAACAATAGATGTTGGCCGATTCTAAGACCTACCCGATATGCACACAAAATTACAAAAAAACGGTCCAGCCGTTTCGGAGGAGTTTGGTAACAAACACTTCGACACGAGAATTTTATATATTAGTAGTTAAGTTGGTGTGTATACGCTTCAAAAAGTTCTGCACCGATTGAACTCAAAACTTGATACGATGTACAAACCTATTCCACGATGGGTTTTAACTATTTTTCACGTCAGTTTTGCTTCTAATTTTTCATCATTGCAACCTCAATGTCATTTTTTAATCTAGTACCTAATGGTAAAGTGTCCTTATCGTTAGCATTAGGGTGTGATTCCATCACGGCAGCACGCTGCACTCCTTGAAAAAGGATTCCCATTAGATCCATAAATCACCGGGCATTTCCGACATACACACGTGAATATACCATGACTACGTCTTTAGTAAATTGATAAGTACATGCAGGAATCAATAATGTAATAAAATTGTAACAAAATAGCGTTTATCTGAATCAGAGCATTCAAATAATCATAAACGGCGTATCCTAATCTTTTCTTCTATTCTTTGATTGCTTGAATGGAAGCGCGAACGATAAGGTTGGTAATTGTACGACTTTAGTTTGAAAAAATAAACATCATCATTCTTTATCATCAGGCGGGTCACCTGATGGAAAATATATACAGCTGCCCATAGACCCTCCAAGTTATGATTCAAGAGTGCAATGACGGCTTTGAGATGGGGGTACACTCTTTTGTTAAAGGCTTGAAGGTCGTATCGATTCGGAAATATCGTAAGGACAATTTGTTCCACAGGTTGGTTGTACTGGTGGTCGGTGTGGCGTGTCAGAGTAGAGACAGACTGTCCGAAATCGTACTGTCTGTCGAGAGCGTGAATACTTGCACATGCACAACCGAGTACCCAGGATCGTACACTTACATCATCACATCAACAGCCTTTAACAGTTCACTGCTGGACATAGGCATCTCCTTAGAAAGGAGGTTTTGGCCTACTACACCACGCTGGCCAGACGGGTTGGTATAGGGTTTGTGTCAAGTTTTCCTTCTCTCTGCAGTGCTGTTGTCCTGCGTAGTTTGCTCCCTTAGCCGCCTCTTACGGCACCCATTGGATGGATAGGGGTGGTGACACTCTGTATTGTAAATAACAGCACTGCAGAGAGTGTAATATTTTATATATACTCGTCATACTTACTGCCAGAGATGCCTCTATCTTGCGATATGTAACATGACGATCTTGCATTAATAGTTCCCGCACAGCATCAATATTTTGAGGTACAACAATCGATTTAGGGCGACCTTCTTTAAATTCGTCCGTGAACACAGACCGCCTTCGATTAAACCCACTAAACCAGTGATACACAGTTGTTTTGATAGTGCTTCGTCCCAGAAGTCGAAGTGATTTGATTGATGCACTGTATTTGAGTTAGCCTCGCCGAAATTGTAATAAATCATGCTACGAAAATTTTTACGAGTTAAATCCATAGTGATAAACCCTTTTTAAAAAAAAAGTTGAACCGACTTCAAAAAACACCGACAAAGAGCACTAAAAATTAAAAAATAATTACAAATCTAAGTAAAAAACTATAATAAGTACCCTCAATGTAACAGGTAACATTATAATACCAATAGTCCCTTCTAGTCAGTTTGAAGTCGGTGCCAAGCCAAATAGGTGCTTGATAGGCATGGTAGAATGTAGCGCGGCAGCTGCAACAGTCTTCATGCTGCGCAAAACATGATGAACAAGCTAAAGTGGACGCACATCTCCAATTATATTATTATTTTGAATTCTTTAATAAGTAGTTGATAAGTTTGCGCACGTAATTGATCTGGTTGGTCTTTATTAATTAACAAAATCTTCGATGTTTCATTAGAATTATTTTGAATTCTTAATTTTTCATTGTGCTAATATAAAGCTGACATAGACCAGTATTAATTATTGTACATCGAGCTTGGCACCGACTTCAAACAGACTAGAAGGGACTATTGGTATTATAATGTTACCTGTTACATTGAGGGTACTTATTATAGTTTTTTACTTAGATTTGTAATTATTTTTTAATTTTTAGTGCTCTTTGTCGGTGTTTTTTGAAGTCGGTTCAACTTTTTTTTTAAAAAGGGTTTATTTTACCATTTTTAGTGTAGGATATGAAAATGACATTGGCGTCCAAACTGATCAAGATCAGCTTAAATTCTTTTCTAAGAAACAGTCAAATTCTTGTGAGTTGCAACCGAACAAAATAACTTCCGATTCAATTGACACTGATCTCCAAGGTGAAGATAGGGAAGCTTTAGTGAGACTACTCAACAAATATGCTCAATATTTTATAGAAGGAGTTCCAACTAGAAGGGTTAATACTAGTATGTTAGAAATTAACCTAGTTGACCCACCCAAAATTTTTTGAGTTCTTTCCAGAACTATTTTAATAAATTAAGTATAAAATTACTTACAAACGAAATGCGATGCCATCCATAGCAACAAAACGTCTATCCGAATTATTTTAACAAGATAGAATACAAAATTTCAACCTTTTCTTCTTAATACAACGAAAATTACTGTGGTGACATAAATACTGCAAGTTCTCTGCGCATCACATCGCGCAGTCTCTGACAGTTGCCATGGTTTGTTTGGCTAAAGAAATACTCGTAGCTAAAACACGTTGTCGGGGCTGTCAAATTCCCAATAATTGTGAGGGTTTCACTCGATTTCTCTAGGATCCCATTATCAGATCCTGAATTGGTGGTAATGGGACCAATTCGGAAGCATACCCTTTCGATTACAAAAAGAATTTTGAAAATCGGTCCACAATTGACGAAGAAATCGCGTAACAAACATACATAAAAAAAAAATACAGACGAATTGAGAACCTCCTCTTTTGTGTTTTGGAAGTCGGTTAAAAAGAAAACATACTGTCGAATCAAAAACCCTCCTTTTTTGATGTTGGTTAAAAATCGACTAGCATGAAGCTCCTAGTCGAGACGAATCAAATGAGCACAAACACGGCGGAATTGCTTTATTTTATTACAGAGTTCCCATGGCTATTTACCGTCTCCATCATCAGACCCTGAATATCACATAGGATCGGAGTTCTTATTAATTAGACTCAAACACATTCAAATTCGATGGTATTACATAATTTTGTTACAGAGATCCCATACTCCTAAACCATTCATCAACAGCTTCATCATCAGCTCAGCAACATCAGACGGTGACCATTAGATGCAAAAATCTACATAGATTAAGATAATTTCTGATAAACAGTGTATATGCCTACAAAATTTGAGGGTTTCCCTCGATTTCCCCAGGATCCCATCATCAGATCCTGACCTGGTGACAATGGGACCACCTCTGACGTATGACCTACCAAATAAAAAAAGAATTATTCAAATCGGTTTATAATTGCCGGAGTAATCGCGTAACAAATATACAAAAAAAAAAAAAAAAAAAAAATACTGTCGAATTGAGAACCTCCTCCTTTTTTTGAAGTCGGTTAATAAAGACACGCAATTTTCAAAATGACGCCACAAAAGATAAACAAATGGTAGCTACATGAAACTAATTGTATTCTTCAGCAAAAGAGTTCCATTTTTGAATGTTATAATTACTTTTTTTATATCGTTTTGTAACTGGCCAGTTCCGGATACATAAATAGCAGCCCTCGTATTGCTTTTTTTTTGCGAAGATTGTAAAGGCATAGTATTCTCAGTTTCTAACAGCTTTCTGGCATTACATATATGTATGTTGCTATTTGTCACTGGTTAATCACATTCGTGTTATTTCCAGTACCTCTACGAGATTGGACACCGCGTGTGTGTGACCCAACCACGGGTCACCGCTGCTGTGTCGCTCGCGTGTCGAGTCGCAGAAGAGCGCGGCGAGCATCTCGGTGAGAATGTTGGATACGCAGCCGCCATGACTAGTCAGAGAAGCGTCGATACTGGAATTGTGGTAAGTCAAACATCTTTTTTTTTATGTCAGAGGTGGCAGACGAGCAGACGGGTCACCCAGTAGTGATTACCATGGCAACTTACGGATTTAAAGTCACGAGTGCGCTGTCGGCCTTTGAGTGCCCTTGCCAAACTTGAAAGTAAGAGGGGTTTTGCCTCGTCCGCTCGTTAAAGTTTTTGATTTTTGTGATACCGCGGTAACACTCCGACATGGATATTATTAAATCGTTTACTTACGCAGGTTGGTCGTTGCAAGAGCAACTCTGCAAATTGGAGCCAGATCGACCAGTCGTAAACGCGCTGTAAATATGGCACTCCAATGCAAACCATGTAACATTTACTTCCTTATCTATTGGGCCCCTCCAGCTGAACTATAGAGGAGCTGTGGAGAGTAATGCCGTGGATGTTGCGGAATTTTGGGCGGACAAAATTTAGGGATGTTCACCCGTTGATACGACGAAGAAGAAGAAGGCTCCTGTCCAGCTGGGTCAGGCGTGCCGAGGCTTTTCGACGTTCATTTTTTTATGGTATAGCAGCAAACCGGCAGACGGGTCACCTGATAGAAAACTACTATCGCCGCCCGTGAATGCCAGTAACTCAGGAGTCACAAGCGTGTTGCCGGTCTTTGAAGTGAGAGTACACTCTTTTTTTGAAGGTTTAAATTTCGTATCGGTCCGGAAATATCGCAGACGATAATTTGTTCCACAGATTCGTTGTGCGAGGCAGAGAGTATCTTAAAAAGCGCAAAGGAGTGCCAAATGTCGAAGTGATAAGAATGAAACTTTTGATGCGTGGAACGCTGGCGGAAAGTTGTGGCTGGCAAATATTAGTCCGAACAATTCCTCAGGGCGCTCTCCGCGATACATACGATGGAGAATGCAGATTCGTAAAGTTTTACAATATCTTGGAAAATAACATGATCGTCTGGATGTACTTAACGTTTAAACTCTTTATAAATGGGTATTGTTAAATGTGTTATGTAATGCCTTTGTTTCAGTTCATGACAGAAGGTGTTTTGCTTCGAGAAATGTTTGCATCGCCGCTCCTTATGCAGTATTCCTGCATTGTTCTTGACGAGGTAAGGAGTCGTCATATTTCAATATATATATATACATACATGTGTAGATTTATTTATCTATACGCGAAGACGTAGGCGCTTATTAAACATCCATATAATGGCTTATAATACAAAATAGTAAAACTTTACATGGTTTCCATAGACCATGGTATACCTACTACTCAGATAGCATCTTCTCGTACCAGGTTTCTCTTAGATCCCAGGTTACATACAACATATAAGACCGCTATTTCCGTATACCTGTTTTTATATCAAGTAATAAAGATTACAATCTACATATATAAATAAAAATGAATAGCCAAATTATGTTGCTACGCGCAAAATATTTATTTATTTCTTTCTTAATAAGTACTACCACATCATACATATTATACTTATAACTAGTTTTGACAATATGAGGCATTATATCTGATATGTATGACAATTAAGGTGTACATAGCATTTACTGTAATGTAGTAGTGTAAAAATACGAGAATAGCTGGACCAATTCGGCTAATATATATTTTTTTCAAATTTTTAATGCACAAGGAAGTTTTTTGATGAAGAAAAAACGTAAAAATTGCCAGGATAAGTATAAAAACAACACTTTTCTTTACTTATACAAACCACAGAGTAAATTAAAGCTTTTCCCCAGCTGTCGAACATTTGATGTTATTCAAAACGAAACAAAGGCCTTTTAGGATTATCTTTGGTATGACTTTAAGTTGATTAGGTTGTATGGATATTATTCTATGCCTGCCCAAAAGAAAGTTTGAAGAAAAGTGATCACACTGGAATACGTTTTATTCATTATTATTTTTTAGAAAAAATAAAAAATACTTAAGTTGTAGCCATCAAGCCTAGTATTTTTTACTCAGTATCGACGATAGTTATTCTGCGATAGGTAAATACATTAAACAAAAAGGCAGTAAAACAGTTACTGTATATTTAATATTATTTCAGGTCCATGAGAGGTCACAGATGACAGATGTGCTGATGGGACTGTTAAAGAAGATTATTAAGGTTTGAAAACAATCATCACGTTAATTTAATATCGATTGGCTAGAGGTTTAATTTGACAGTCACTTGCAAATTACTGTTTAGTTTTTTGGGGATTCTATTGGTGTTTAATTTATTTAAGTCTTATATCGACGTAGGATATAAATAGTATAGAGGGACTGGTGTTATTTCCCTTCGACACGAAAGAAGTATCCGGATCAGGGTGATCATGCCTGGTTAAACGCAGTTCAAAGGCAGATTTTGGAAAGTTGTATACTATCGAACGAACTAAATCAATAATGAAAAATAGCATAGTACGTATTAAGCAACTTCACGGAAAAAAAAGGGTGCCAAATGTCTGGGCTTCGATTCTGGACAAATAATTCTCTGATGAGCAACGTGTCTGGGTAGAATTTATCGTATTCTCGTCTTTCAACGTTGCTCTTCCATTTTTCTAGAAACGCAAGAATCTGAAGTTGGTGATATCTTCGGCGACAATGGACGCGGACTTCCTGAGAGACTTCTTCAACTTGAGCAGCAGCAAGGAACGTGACAAAGCCAGCACTTCTGTGATTATGTCCATGCAGGGCAGAACGCATCCTATTGACTTGTTTTACTCAGAAGGTTAGCTGTCATAAACAGAATATACTTTTTTATGACATAGGGAGCAAAAGAGCAGGTAGCTCACCTGATGATACGTGACTCCTAAGTTGCAGACGTTGGGCGGCATGGTCACCTTCCATCAGGTGACCGGTCTGCTCGTCTGCCCCCTCTAACATAAAAAAATACACGTAACAAACATTAATTAACGTTACCCATTTCCGGGAACAACTGGTAATCCTCAATAATTGTAATATTAACCGGCTCAAAGGACCATGTGGGCTCCATATATGGTCCTTCGAGCCTGATTACTAACTCAGATTTTGGCTTGTGTTTGTGACAAGTTTTCCTTCTCTTTGCAGTGCTGATGTCCTGCGCATTGTGCTCCCTAAGTCATCTCTTACTACATCCACGGTATAAATAGGGGTGGTGACACTTCGTATTCTTAATCCGTCTGCTCGTCTGCCCCCTCTAACTTAAAAAAATAATACCTGTAACAAAATTTAACTAACGTTATTGATATCCAGGAACAACTGGTTATCCTCAATAGTTTTAATATTATCCGGCTCAAAGGACCATGTGGACATGGTCCTTCGAGCCAGACTAACTCAGATTTTGGCTTGTGTTTGTGACAAGTTTTCCTTCTCTTTGCAGTGCTGATGTCCTGCGCATTGTGCTCCCTAAGTCATCTCTAACGACATCCACGGCATGAATATGGGTGGTGACACTTCGCATTCTTAATCCGTCACCACACAGATACATAATCCATGTATAGGTGTACCTAACCAATGACCTGGTTGTATTTTTCAGAGCCAGTCCCGGACTACGTAAAAGCGACAGTGGATACAGTCATTAAAATACATGAAAACGAACCGTTTGGTGATGTTCTTGCTTTTCTTACGTCACAGGTAAGTTTTAACATTAGTTAGTACCGAGGTCTGATAACTTGGTTACAGTATAGAGGAGATGGAAGATCGACAAATTGTCTTAAGATAAACTTCCATGTTGGGGCGACATCTGGCGCCATCTCTTTTCATCGCGAGAAAGCTTATGTTTGTACATTTTGAAATGCAGGGGGGGTCTGTTCGGGGTACCAGGGACTTCCTTTCTAGGGTATACCTGGTTCCCCGGCTATTAGTACCCGAGACGGCGTGCGGTTTTAGTTGGTTCGAGTCCGACATGCCACCGACAGGTGGTATCCGAGGGGATTTCCGCACGGAAAAAAAAAGGGAAGTTTGAACGGCGCCACCACACAACGATTTCTTCTTTTGAAAATATAGCATATAATTCTGTGTTATTTAATTTAATCAAATTGTAAGGTTTTACCAAATAAACCGTTTTCGAAAAAGTTCAAAATAAACGAATTTATTGAAGAGCCCTGAAGACCCCCGTTACTGAAAGTATAACCGATCAACCTTTATTTTACCCCCTTAGGGGAGACATTTTCAAAAATGGTTCCTTAGTAGATGCCCACCACACCAGTAGTATTAGTTGTCGAAAATAAGAACAGCTTTTTAGTCTCTGCGTTATTTAATCAGTCAGTCAGTCAGGGCAAGTAATTTTATATGTTTAGATGAACAGTACAAATATTTGCCTGGGGTGGAAATCAAACCCGTGGCCCTTGATTATGCAGTTGAATGAATGGTTGCCGCAACACGCGCATTTTGATGTGTCGAATCGCTAAATATGTATATTTGCGGATACAAATACGGATTGTATCGAATATTCTTCAATCTCCTCCAATTCTCTTCTGATTAATTTCGTTGCGGGTCCTAAGACAGTTTATCTTTTTCCTGGGATTTCCCGAGTCTCATAACTCGGTGTGGTCCTGGATCCTGGTGTACAGGAGTTACAGTGGTGGGCGTGTGGGAGGTAGGGTCCCGTTTAAAAAAAAAACCTCGAATAAGTATCTCAAAGTTTTTTGTTATTTATGCTGTAGAGGCAAATGAGTAGCCGCCCGATTGATGGTAAGTGTGGGCGTTTAATACGACCCGGTCTACCCCTTCGAGAATAGTAGATGTGAGTGTATGTATAGGAATATACAAATATTATAAAAGGCGAAACTTTGTGTGTGTGTGTGTGTGTTTGTATGTTCTTCTTCATGCTCAAACGGCTGGACCAATTTTGATACCTGATAAATTATAATTATTGCTGTAAGTTCTCACTCTGGGAAGAAATGCCGAAACAAAACACAGAGGTGTATTTTTTAGTCTGTAAATAAAGTTAAAGAAAACTGTGAGTACAGCATAGGTACAGTACAGATAAAAATAGGAATACAGATAGCTGACACCCAGGAGTACATAAGCTATAGCTTGTAACATAAAAGATCTGTTAGATACGATTTCAGACAGGAATACCGATTCTTTCCCATGGATATTCAGCACAACAATAATGTTAAAAGCCTGCTCTTAAACAAAAATGATTAATCATTAAGTAATTAATAATCATTGCAGGAAGAAATCCTGTCCGCTCAAGAAACCCTCCAGACGTACGCAGACCAGAACAATGCTTCAAACAAGCATCGAAATCACTTCCCCTCCGGTATCAAGTCAGCTGACATGTTGGTGCTCGCCATGTACGGGAGCCTTCCACATTACAAACAAGTCAAAGTGTTCCAGAGGACGGACAGTAACATTAGGAAAGTGTTGCTAGCTACGAATATTGCTGAGACTAGTATCACTGTACCCGGGGTTGTCTATGGTAAGTTTCATATTCATAAGGGTAGATGTCCTTAGTATACATGTGGTGACGGATAAAGAATAAGGAGTGTCACCTTCCCCATTCATCGTGTCGTAAGCACTACAGCACTGCAGAGAGTAGTAGAACTTGGCACAAATCCTTATTTTATTTTTATTTTTTTTTTTTACGTGTGGAAATCCCCTCTGACCGTCACCCCGCCGGGGCTCTCGTTCGGCGGGGTGGTGTGTCGGACTCGAACCGACTAAAACCACACGGTGTGCCCTCTTTGCGCTTCCAGTTTAGGAGGGGTCCAGGTAGTTATCGCCTTCTGGACCCCTCTTGGCACAAATCCTATACCAACCCGTCTGGCCAGCGTGGTATAGTAGGCCAAAACCTCCGAGGCCTATGTCCAGCAGTGGACTATTAAAGGCTGTTGATGATGATAATTGATGATTATTATTATTAATATGTTGATACCAATGTTCTCAGTTCTTTTAAAAACTATCGATTGAAACGCCTTATGAAAAAATATTTAATTTTTAATTTGTTAGGGTTCCGTACCTGAAAAGGTAAAAAAGGAACCCTTATAAAATCACTTTCTTGTCCGTCTGTCCGTGAGTCACCACCGATTATTTGAGGAACGGATAGACATAGCAAGTTGAAATTTATACCAGATACTGAGGTCTATGGTTTCTATTAGGTGTATAAAAATCAAGGTCCTGAGTCAACACGATAAAAAGATATGGACAAATTTCGATTTTCGACAAAATTTGTATGTACCAAAATTTACCTTAATTTTTAGCTTTTTTTATTTTTTAGAATTTTCTTTTTACTTGTGCTGTAAGACCTTGCTTTTAACCAAAATTGACAGTTTTAGGTCAACCGGAAGTACCCTACAGGTTTTGGGTCGAAAACCTATATGGTAGTTCCCGTTGACCTAGAATCACGAAATTTCGTCTTACAGCGTCTTACAGCACAAATAAAGGAATAACTCCAAAAAATAAAAAATAAATGAAATTTACGATAAATTTCGGTACTTACAAATTTTCGCGAAAATCTACGTAAAATCTGCGCACGGCGCACGAGTTCGACTCGTACTTGACCAGTTTTTTTTATTTATCCAGTAATAGACTGCGGTTTCCACAAGCTACCATACTTCGATCCCAGCGTGGGTGTCGAGAGCCTCACTATCACCCCTATAGCTAAGAATAACGCCACACAACGGGCGGGCCGAGCGGGCAGGACTAGTCGCGGGAAATGCTACAGGTAACCACCCCTTTTTATATACCACAATACTACCAATACGTACTGGACGGATGGCGTAGTGCGTAGCGTAGCGGTCAACTCGCCGCTTCCTGCGCTGAATGTTGTGGTTTCGATCCCACCAGAGGACAACACTTTGTGTGATCCACAAATTGTTGGTCTGAGTCTGGATGTTCTTTGTGTCCGTTTCATGTATGTTTGTAAAGTCCCCCGCGACACTTTAAAGTAATATATTATTATAATTATAATATAATATTTCTTTGATTACATATATTTAAATTCCACCCAGTTTGCAGACAAATCTTTCACTGTGCAAGCAGTTAGACTTTGGAACAACTTGCCTGTGACAATCTGACAAGCTAAAACCTTTCCCGTTTTCAAAAAGCTAGTGAATAATTTTCCGTGTGGTGACGGATTAAGAATACGGATTGTCACCAACCCTATTCATCGCGTGGGTGTCGTAAGAGCCGATTAAGGGAACAAACTACGCAGGACAACGGCACTGCAAAGGAAGAAAAACTTAATACAAACCCTATACCAACTCGCCGACCAGCGTGGTATAACCTCCTTTCTAAGGAGAGGCCTATGTCCAGCAGTGGCCAATTATAGGATAATAGCTGACCCGCGCAACTTCGTCTGCGTCTCTCAATAGTAATAAATTTTCTCCGTTTTTGAAACATTCTTCTTTGTTGCTCCGCTCCTATTGGTCTTAGCGTGATGATATATAGCCTATAGCCTTCCTCGATAAATGGGCTATCTAACACTGAAAGAATTTTTCAAATCGGACCAGTAGTTCCTGAGAATAGCACGTTCAAACAAACAAACAAACTCTTCAGCTTTATAATATTAGTATAGATTATTGATGATATTTTTTTTATTCCAGACTGTACACAGAAGAAGAATACACCAAGTTATCAGAGTCAGTTCCACCGGAGATGTGCCGCAGTGACCTGTCTGCGATGCTGTTGCAGCTCAAAGCTCTAGGCATTCACAACTTGCTCAGGTGATATTCCTTATTTATATAAAATAACTATAATATTAATAACAACTTCACACGTCTCACACACGGCAGTCTGACCCCAAACTAGGCAGAGCCTGTGCTATGGTGACCAGACTGCTGATAAACATACTTATATATTTCTAAATACACACATATTATAGATAAATTACACCCAGACACAGAACAAATGACCGTGCTTATCACACAATATTTGTCCTGGGTGGGAATCGAACCCACGACCTCCGGCTTAGCAGTCAGGGTCACTAACCACTAGACCAACAGGCGCGTCAGTATATGTTATAGGGGTGTCTTTGCGGCAAAATAAGATATTAGATTTTTCAATACGTACTACGTTTTAAAATTATTTAACCGTAAAAAAAGTTATCCGTTGTACAAAACTTAGACTAATTCCTAAGAAAATTTAGTGTTATTACTGTTAATATCTTTATTTTATTACAAGCCCGCGGATCCGCCCGCATGTGTGTTGCTTATCGCGGTAAAAAGCCTTTGTCATTCCTCTAGCATCAGAGTATCTCTACGTCAAATTACATTAAATTTGGTTCAGCGGTTTAGCCGTGAGAGAAAGACAGACAGAGTTGTTCTTATGTTCTTATGTTCTTAAAAAAGACAACTCCCGCATTAGGAAAGTATCCTGTGTCGCGGGGGACTTTACAAACATACATGAAACGGACACAAATAACACCCAGACTTGGAACAACAATTTGTGGATCACACAAAGTGTCGTCCCATGTGGGGTTTGAACCCACAACACTCGGCGTAGTAGGAAGCGGTGTGGCGACCGCTTAAACCACTACGCCATCCGTGCAGTCAGTCAGAGTTACTTTTGCATTTGTATTGTTATTAAGGATTATTAAAATTGTGTTGGTGTATGTAATCTTATATCAAATTCTGGTGTCACAATGTTAGTTACCATACTCCTCCGAAACGGCTGGACCGATTTTTATGAAATTTTGTGTATACATCGGGTAGATCTGAGAATCGGCCAACATCTATTTTTCATATCCCTAAATGACAAGGGTGACCCACCCCTATTTTTATTTTCTTTACATATTTCGTAGAAATAATGTATACGGCAAAACAACGTTTGCCGGGTCAGCTAGTATTAGTATAATATTAGTTGGATGACACGAACGAATTCACGTTATACCATCAACAGCCTTTAACAGTCCACTGCTGGACATATGCCTCTCCTTAGAAAGGAGGTTTTGGCCTACTATACCACGCTGGCCAGACGGGTTGGTATAGGGTTTGTGTATAGTTTTTCCTTCTCTCTACAGTGCTGGTGTCCTGCGTATTTCTCTCCCTTAGTCGGCTCTTACGGCACCCACGGGATGAATAGGGGTGATGACACTCTGTATTCTTAATCCGTCACCACACGGATCGTTACACCAACCAGAACTAAAATATTCTATCGACAAGTAGCAATTAAAATGCTTTTAATTTTTCATTGTAAATTTAGTCGCGTTAATTGTCGATTAGAAAAGACATTTTTTGCAAAAATCTCATTCGTTATGTCGCCACGTAAGTAGTACAATGTGAATAGCTTTGATTGATGATGGAGACAAAACAATACATCTTATAAAAACGTTAATACTCATTGTTCTTCTGATATTTGCGAAATTAAAATTTTAATTTATGCATAAAAACTTTTATCAAAAATATAATTTGCTGGGTAGATTTAATTTTATGCAATAGAAAAACTAAAAAATTAAATATTATTTCAGTGAAATACATGGGAGTGAAAAAAAGACTTATGTTTAATGATGAGATGACGTAAACATGATGTCATAACGAAGTGGTTTGTTTTTCGTGTATTTGTAGAACAGATAAAAATTTGAAATACTTGTAAATTATAAAATAAAAATAAATTAATTTGACGTAATTAGAGTGCGCAGTAGCCAGTAACCGTCGATGCTGATGTGCTTAATTTTTTCATTTATAACTTTAAAGTGTCTTTTATTAATTCGCTTTCAATTTGAATATTTTTAAGATTATTAAAAAAATGCGGCATCGCGTTTGTGACTCCTGCGTTGCAGACGTTCATGGGTGGCGATGGTCACTTTCCATCAGGTGATCCCTCTGCCCCCGTTTGTCATAGAAAAAGAAAATGATTTTCCATTTTATCAAGTTTTTTATGATTTACCGTTTATATAACGCGACTATGGAATGCACTAAAAAAGTATTGTTTGTGTGTAGGTTTACATTTCCGACGCCACCTCCGGCGAAGAGTATCCTGGCGGGGCTGGAGACGCTCTACGCGCTGAGGGCCATCGACAAGGGGGGGCAGCTCACGGCCCTGGGCCGACGCGCCGCGGAACTGCCCCTCAGGCCCTCGTGCGGCGTCATGCTGTGTCACAGCGGTACACCACCTCTCTTTTTACACACTTGTATACACCACCCAGCTGCCAAACTTTCCTAGCTTACTGTCACAACGGAGATTGCACTGTCGGTCTAGTGGTTTAGTGACTCTGACCGCTAAGCCAGAGGTAGTGGGTCCGATTCTCACCCAGGACAAATAATTATGTGATGAGAACGGTAATTTGTTCTGCGTCTGGGAGTACTTTATCTTTACAAATAAATAACATTGAAGTGTCTATTTGTAATGTCGGTCAAATTTTGTCACACGGTTATTTGCACGATACCTAAGCATAAAAACCAGTTTAAATATTTTTTGTCTGTCTGTTCGTTCCGGGTGATCTTCAAAACGGCTAGACCCATTTTGATAATATTTTACTACCAGGTAGCTGTTTATATAAGGATTAACTTAAGCTATTTTTCTTCTCAGCTAAGCCCTTTAAAAAAATTATCAAATTCGGGAATCGAACTCGAGGTCTCACGGACTGCAGTCGCGTACTGTACCGTAAACCACTAATAATGCAGAATAGTACAGACTCTGTCTGGCTTGGGACCGCCTGCCGTGTGTTAAATGTGTCAAAAAAAATTGCATCACCTTTTGAACAATCTAAGTGATAAACATACAATTTATTGCACCCATGCAAATTTACTTCATCATCATCAACAGCCTTTAACGGTCCACTGCTGGACATAAGCCTCCCCTTAGAAAGGAGGTTTTGGCCTACTAAACCACGCTGGCCAGACGGGTTGGTCTAGGGTTTGTGTCAAGTTTTCCTTCTCTCTGCAGTGTTGTTGTTCTGCGTAGTTTTTTTTCTTACTTATTCAGAAATACCCGACTAATTTCAAAATCAATAAACCCAAAGACTTATCATCTATAAGTATAACATTACTTGCCTTGACTTACTAATTCATCAACGCGGAACCTAAAGTTTTTTTGTTGTAAGCACCTACTAAAAAATGAACATTCTAATATTCACCCCTAAGGGGGTAAAATAAAGTATATACGGTGGTTGGAAGTTCTTCATTTTCAAAGTTAGAAACACGTAATAAGAAGGAACTTATGATGCAGCTGGTGACATACATGTGATTTCTTTTGTTTTTGTGTTCAATAGGAGAGTACGGGTGTATAGACGAGATGTTGTGCATAGCGGCCATGTTGCAAGTGGACAGTGTGTTCGTGAAGCCCAGCAGTGGGACGGCGGGACTCGCCGCCAGGGTCACGAGGAGGAATCAATTTGAAGTGAGTGCTTTTTGATATAGACAAAACAAAGTTTACATCAAATCTCTGAAAAATATCGATCAATTACAAATCTTTCTAAAAGATTTGTTTTCAAATACATTCTGACTCCCGCCTCAAAGGTTGGCACTTCACTTGCTGGTTGATGGACAGCGGTAGTCGCTCACCATGAGGTAACAATTCTACTTCATAAAAAATATACAAAATGCAGCGCCATCTGTTGAGCACTATGCGGTACTATTCAGGTTAAGGTAAACATGTGTTTTACATTTATTTAGTTTTATATTTTCTTCACAACGTTTAATTAATTTCAATATTTACATAAATACAGTCCCTTTTGATTTTAATTGCCCTTCTAAAATTTACCGTTAAATAATCCTTTCTACAGAAAGGATCTTTGATCCTACAGAATCAGTAGAAATTATGTTGGTATATTTCCGCTAGATGGCGCTGTAATTTTTTATATGATGTTTTAAAGTTGATTTAGAATATAAATAAGTAATACATATACATATAAATATTTCAATTATGGTTTGTTATCAGGTAGCTGAAGGCGATATCATCATGTATTTAAATATTTTCGACTCGTACCTCAAGATCAGATCTTCTCATAACGACGAGAAGAGATTTAAGAAGATGTGCAAGGATTGGTGTCAGAAGAATTATATCAACTACAAAGTTATGGAAAAGGTTAGCGTTACACCTTTTTTAATCATCATCACATCAACAGCCTATAATAGTCCACTGCTTGACATAGGGCTGTCCTTAGAAAGGAGGTTTTGGCCCACTATACCACGCTGGCCAGACGGGTTGGTATAGAGTTTAGTGTTAAGTTTTCCTTCTCTCTGCAGTGCTGTTATCCTGCGTAGTTTGTTCCCTTAGTTGTCTCTTACGACACCCACGCGATGAATAGGGGTGGTGACACTCTGTATTCTTAATCCGTCACCACACGAACCTTTTCAATGTCAAACCTGTTCAAATTGTGTTTTTATTGTTAAACATCTAATGCGGAAGGTCAGTTTAGCTGTTGGCGTGGTGATGCGTCGCCACGCTATGTGATGGTATATATATAAGTAACATATAATGCGCTGAGTCGAGGCGTCGCCATTTTTTTTTATACTCAGTATTTCTACAAAATAAATTTAATATTTCCCATCTGCCAGACGTCCCACGGCTGCTCAATTTTTTTTAAACTTAAGACACGTATGTCATTATAGTGCCATTGTATCTACTTGTGAATTGCAAAAGAGTGGCCATGAGTTTGTTTGCCCTTTCTTCTCATAAGGCTCAACCCCTTGGAAACGGGCGGTTGTAGATCGGCACAGACATATCATAGATTTTGTATGGGTTTGATTTTTGTTAAATTTATTTGGTTACTATTTGACAAAACAAAGATTGTTGCTTTTGTGTGTGTTGATCTATGACTTTAGAGTCTACATGGAAGACGATTTCAAACAATTTTGGAAATTTTATGAAATAAAGAAAGTTTGAGTTTGAGTTATGTTGTTACTTTGGTGTTTATATCAATAAACTAAACAGCCTTCATACAATATGCGTTATAATATTAATAAATAAATAAAAATAAAAATAAAAAAGCCTTTTATTTCTTACTAAAAATACAGTTACAATTAATCTTAAAACTATTAAATACTACTACTACTACTACTATTATTTTATCTAATTTTATACAGTAATATGTGCGCTAACTAAGTAGTAAGAACCCCTCTTAATCGAATGTGAAGGCCTCCTCTAGAGATTTCCAAGCGTCTCTGTCGGTTGCTGTGTCCATCTAACGATCGCCGGCCACTTATGTCATCGGTCCACCGGGCAACTGGTCTGCCCCTCTTCCTAGAGCCTGCTGGTCCGACCCAAGACGTCAATCTCTTCGTCCATCTGCTATCTGTCAGCCGCGTTATGTGGCCGGCCCAGCGCCACTTTAATTTTTTGCAGTGACATAGAGCATCAACAACCTTAGTCTTTTTCCGAATAGTTTTATTTGGTACTTTTTGTATCTTTTTCAAGTTTAATATGCTTCTTTCCATCCCGCTTTGGCATGACCTAATTTTGTTTTTAGCTTTTATAGTGAACTTCCAAGTTTGACTGCCGTAAGTTAGTGATGGGAGAATACAGGTATCCATGACTTTTTTTTTAATTCTAATTGGCATTTCACTTTTTGAAACTTCTTTCAGACTCCAAAATTTCTTCCATGTGTTTGCAATTCTTCTTTCTATTTCATGGTAATTTCTTTGCTTATCGAATGATATCTGCTTCCCCAGGTAAATATAAGTGTCGACATATTCTAACTTTTCATTTTCTAGGTATATTGGGTTCCTGCTGTTATTTGTCATGATATTTGTTTTATTGCGATTTATTTCTAGACCAACCTGTAGACTAGCTGTGTGGAGGGCGTTTATCATTGATTGTAGTTGTCTTGTACTTTCAGAAAATAGGACGATATCGTCTGCGAATCTTAAGTGACTTATATACTCATTGTTTATGTTTAAACCGACTCTTTCCCAGGCAAGCTTCTCGATCACGTATTGTAGTACCGCTATGAAAATTGTTGGGGAAATAGGATCGCCCTGTCTAACCCCTCTTTTGATGGGTATAGGGGGACCAGTCGAATCTAATCTAATTCTACTGTTGCAGTTTTGGTATAGATGTTGTAGAACCTTGAGATATTCAGTTTCAATATTTTGTGATTGTAGAGCTTCCCAAATAGAGTGATGATACAAAGTATCGAAAGCTTTTTGGTAGTCGATGAACGCTAGGTAGAGCGGTCTCTTGAACTCTTGGTATTTTTCTATAACCATTTCGATAGAGTGGATATGGTCCATGGTAGAAAATCCTCTCCGGAATCCGGCCTGTTCTATAGGTTGATGTTTTTCTATGGTACTTCTGATTCTTTTTTCTAGAATTGATGAGAATAATTTGTAAATGGATGGCAGCAGGCTTATAGGTCGGTAATTACTTATATTGTGCGGGTCTCCCTTCTTGTATAATAAGACAATGTCTGATTCAGCCCATTGTTTTGGTATAGTTACGGTTCTTATTACTAAGTTAAATAACTGTTAAAGGGCCTGCTAAGTGTGGACATGCAATTTTCAGGGTTTCGTTAGTTATTTTGTCTGGTCCCGGGCTCTTTTCTGACTTTAGTTTACTAATTGCTTTTAATACCTCCGCTTCTTCTATGTCTTGTATTTGTAGTGTTGTGTCTCTTATTGTTAGTATAATTTGAGTGGTATCATGGTTTTCAAAGCAGTACAAATTGCTATAGAAATTAGTAGCAACTTGAATTATTTCTTTTCTATGACAAGTTCTTTTGTTTGAAGCTTCTAGGCCTTCTATCCAGTTCGTATGTGTTCTTAATTCTCTAATGGCTTTCTTTAAACTTTGAGACTGAGTTATATGTTTTTCAATAGTATTCCTACGGTGAGATTTGTAGTCTAGATTAATACGTTTGCTAATAAGTTTGTAGAGAGCTTTTAACTCTTTTTTTATACTCCTTGTTTTTGGTTTCAGGTTTTGTAAATATTGTTATAATATTACTCAGATTAAATTCTTAGCCAATGACAGAGTTTCAGTATTTTATTATTAGATAACAATTTAAATCATAACCGTCGGAAATATTTTTAGAAGTTTTCTAGTAAAGCCTATTTGGGTGCGCTACTCGATAATAATCGAATCGAGAACTCGATGACGAATTAGCCTAATAAAATTAGAAAAAGTCTAGGAAACTAATAATCACGATTATAATTATATTCCTTTCAATTTGCAGGCATGTGAAATAAGGGATAGCTTGGAAAAAATTATTAAAAACAAGTTCCAGATGGAAAACCAACCGGTTGAAGGACTCGAATTGGCAGCAGGTAAATTATAAAAATTGCATTTATTTATTTCTAGCTTTTGCCAACGGCTCCGTACGCGTGTATTTAAGTTATCGTGGTGTCCTGTGTCCTTCCTATAGAATCAAACTATCTCCACACCAAATTGCATCTGAATCGGTTCAGCGGTTATCGATTACCTCCAAACCCTCATCCCTATTTTCACTCCCTTTTAAGGATGATTTCTGGCCTAAGAACTATCCTATGTCCCTTCCCGGGACTCAAACATCTCTATACCAAAATTCAACGAAATCGGTTCAGCGACTTAAGCGTGAAGAGGTAACAGATGACAAACAGACTGACACTCTTTCGCATTTATAATCCATACAAACTCTCACCCCTCTTTTTCTCCCCTTTAGAGCATGATTTCTCGGATAAAAAATATCCTATGTCCTTTCCCATAACTCAAACTATCACTATATCAAAATTCATCTAAAACGGTTCAGCGGTTTAAGCTTGAAGAAGTAACAGACAGACAGACACACTCTCGCCTTTATAATATGAGTATGGATAAGCTTGCTACCTATATCATAACCTATTACCAACAACACAAATTAATATTAGTTTAATTTTAGCAGAAATTCGAATTGTTTAAAAAAATTCACGTTTATTTTAGTATTTTTTGTGGCAAAATAATTCAGTGAAAAGGAAAATTGTGCAGTTATTATGAAGCGTGTTTAGGGGTTTTTATACTTTTTTGATTGTGTTTCTTTTTAGTCGAGGCAATCGATACATAAATCAAACAATATTATTATTTAAGATATCTTATTATATACTTTTTACTTCAAACTCAAACTCTCTTTCACATCAACAGCCTTTAATAGTCCACTGCTGGACAGAAAGGAGGCTTTGGCCTACTATACCACGCTGGCCAGACGGGTTGGTGTAGGGTTTGTGTCAAGTTTTCCTTCTCTTTGCAGTGCTGTTGTCCTGCGTGGTTTGCTCTCTTAGTAGGCTCTTACGACACCCACGGGATGAACAGGGGTGGTGACACTCCGTATTCTTAATCCGTCACCACACAGACCACTCTAAATTCTAAACTCTCTTTATATCATAATTTTTTTTTAGTTATTTGAAATCGTCTTTTATGTAGACTCTAAAGTCATAGATCAACACACACAATAGCAACAATCTCTGTTTTGTCAAATGGTAATCAAATAAATTTAATAAAAATTTAAATAATTCATTTGCTTTGTACTGTCCCTCAATCTATGAACTCAAAAAAGTGTTGTCACGTTAAGTAGGCAAAACTTGCATCAGAATTTTGATTCTGTTTACGTAATTTTTTTTTATCACATTTCCCCAACACCATCTAGTCCCAAACTAAGCAGAGCTTGTACTATGGGTACTAGACAACTGATATAAATACATATATACTTTTTTTTGTAAATACATACTTATTATACATAGAAACACCCAGACCAAATCAAACATTAAATGTTTAACTTAAGCGGGAATCGAACCCGCGACCTTTGGAACAGCAATCCGTTACACAAACCACTACGCCATCCTATCGTCATTACAATATTAAGAAAAAAAGAAAGCCGCTATGATCTATACCCATTACTGTTCAACATATTTCAAGAAGATTTAAAGTTTTATAGTTTCTCTGAAGTCGACAGTTTTGTGTAAAAATCACTGTGAAAATAAAATAGGCCTCTTAATTATTATTATAAACTAGTTAACAGAGAATGCTCGGCTCCTATTAGTGATAGCGTGATGTTATATTGCCTCTCTGGGGTCGATGTTATAATTGGGCTATCAAATGATTTTTGAATTCGAACCTGTTGTCCCTGAGATTAGCGCGTTCAAAGAAACAAACTCTTCAGATTTTATACGAGTAATATTACAACAACAATCAATCTGTATAAAATGTTATCGTCTGCGGTATCTCCGAACCGATATGACCTTGTAACTTTCAAGGAAAGAGCGTACTCCTTCCTCAAAGGTCGGCATCTCCTGAGTTGCAGGCGTTCATGGGCGGCGGTAGTCGTTTTCCATCAGGTGACCTGACTGCTCGTTTGCCCATTCTTCATCTTAAAAAAATGAAGATGTTTAGGGATGTATTTGTTGTGCAGGTAAGCTGTCCCGCATCATGAAGTGCGTGGTGTCGGGCTACTTCAGCCAGGCCGCGTTCCTCAGCCCCGACTCCTCGTACCGCGGTATCCGCGGCGCTCGGCTCCACATCTCGCCCGACAGCTGCCTCTACAGGGTGCAGCAGCCCAAGTGGTGAGGATGCTTTCCATTTCGGTCAAGCTAATGTACACTTTACTCCTATGTACCTAAAGCACATTATTTTTTGATACCCTACACTATATACCCTCAACGGGCCTTTCAGCATAGTGGTTACTGATCTCATCTGCTAAGCCGGAGGTTGTGGGTACGATTCCCGAATAATTGTGAGATGAGTACGATTATTCGTTTTGTGTCTGTGTGTGATTTATCTGTAATACGTATAATATTTATATGTAGAAACCGTCTGATCCCAAACTAGGCAGAGCCTGTACTATGGTAACCAGACTGCTGATAAACATACTTATATATTTCTAAACACACACATATTATAGATAAATTACACCCAGACACAAGAAATGACCGTGCTCATCACACAATATTTGTCCTGGGTTCAGAATACTAACCACTAGATCAACAGATCCCTCAATTTATAAGTATGTTAATCAGCAGTCTGGTTACCATAGTACAGGCTCTGCCTAATATGAGATCAAAAGGCCGTGTGGGATGTGTGGTGTGGGTTCCACATTCACGCGAGCAAAGTAGTGAACAGAAACTAGATTTAATGTAAATTAAGATTTAAAAAGACAATTCTACTCTCTTAATTTTTTTATTAATAATAATTATTTCTTAGAATTAACATATAATTCGAATTGTATATTGTAAATGAGGCTACTTCCTTATGCTTATCACCGAGTGAGTGACGTTCCCAGGACCCAAACCCCTCGCACTTATTCGGGTAGGGGGGGCTCGAAGGTGCGACAACGCATTTGTGGTTCCTGAGTTGCAGACGTTCATGAGCGGCGATAGTCACCTTCCATCAGGTGACCCGTCTGCTCGTCTGGCCTCTCTACATATTCTTTTTCTCGTCTTAGGATCATCCATTTTTGTTCGGAGGGATATAACACCCATTCCTCCATATATAACTGAGCACTTTATATTTTATTTTTATGCCTAATTAAGTTATTTATTCCAGGGTGATCTTCGCCAGCGTACAGAGCACGGGAACCAAAACGTACATGCGCGACATGATGACCATAGACAAACAGACACTCCTGGACATAGCGCCACACTATTATACCGAGACGTGATAATATAAATCAGTATTGTTATTATTATTGTTTTATTTATTATAAACTAGCGATCCGCCCCGGCTTCGCACGGGTGCAATGTAGGTACTACTAATTCTCGCAGAACGACCTCCGTCCTCCATAAGCGCAGGCCTGGGGGTGACAGGTGAGGCGATCTGTCACCCTAGCAGAAGCAGGCTGGGGTGGCGGCGATCGCGTTGCGAAGCGCGCTCGCTTCCAGGGAGCAGAGGGAACATGGGGTTCCCACACGGGGCGGGGGTAGTCTACTCGTCTGTAGATGACCCGAGGTATGTCGGGGCACCAGGGCCTTCCTTTCTAGGGTATACCTGGTTCCCCGGCTATTAGTACCCGGCGAAGGCGTGCGGTTTTAGTCGGTTCGAGTCCGACATGCCACCGACAGGTGGTATCCGAGGGGATTTCCGCACGGGAAAAAAAAAAAAAAAAAAAAAAAAAAAAGGTACTACTAATTCTATTCTTCTTCTATTATTATGATACTATACCACAGAACATCTTTATATGCAATATTTGTAGACCCGCTCCGATCCTGCCGGCCGCTTTCACCCAGGTAGGACGTACAGCCCGACGCGGCGATGGCCGCTTTGCCCCCGCATTTTACACCTCTGATAACTACCAAGATATTCATTTCAATGAGATGGTGTATATGGCAAATTTGATGTACATTAAATGCACATCGTATCTAACGCATTTATTTGGATAAGGAATAATACTGTATTTTTAATATGTAAAAATGGTTACTGTGGGTTAAGAGATAGACATATACCATCTCGAACTTTTTTGTAGGCCTTTCTATAATATAAACATAGTACATTAGTTTGATGATAGTACATTATTTTATACTATTTAAAGATAAATATTGTTTATTACTGACTGGCCTCTTGGACTAGCGGTTACTGATCTTGACTGCTGAGTCAGAGGTCGTGGGTTCGAATTTCATTCGGAACAAATAATTAAGTTCCAGTGAGTCGGAAATGAATGCCGCTAGTTCCAGTGAGTCGGAACTGAGTGCCCACATCAAGATATTTACCTCCGGTCTTGGAGGGGAGTGATGTGGTGACTCCCACATACAAGAAAACAGTAACATACTACAGCGCCATCTAACGAAGACACACCGAACTACGCAGTGAACGAGAATTGCTAATCCTTTATCACGATATGAAGAATTCTCTCGCCGATTAGCATATATACAACTTTCCAACATCAAGCATTGGGCTGTTGCCCGCCAGGCATGATCACCTCGCCTGGTCGTAAGATCCTCCCTTTGTGTTGGAGGGACATGACACCCGTTCCTCCACAAACTCAAACTCAAATATATTTATTTCTTAAAAAAAAAACTTATTTGAAATCGTCTCTACGTATCGAAAATCTACGCGATCTACAACCGCCCATTTCCAAGGGGTTGAGCCTCATGAGAAGAAAGGGCAAACAAACTCACGGAGACTCTTATCTCCCAACAGATAACAATGGCTGCATTGAATATACACAACATTGTTTTGATGTGTGCCGGTATGTAAATTTTAAGGTAAAAAAGGTAAACCAGCAATGAAGAGAAAACAAGATATAGAAAAGATGGAATAAAAAAGAAAGTGAAGTAAAACATAAAAAAATTGAAAATTAAATTAAAGACACACTAGCCCACATCACATTGCCACTACGGAATAGCCTGTGCTAAATTAATCCCAAGCATTCTTGTCTTCTATGTAATCCACAACTGAGTAATAGGCTTCTTGACATAGTTTACGTTTTATTGTGGGTTTAAATTTGTTTTTAACGGATTAAGAATACGGAATGTCACCATCCCTATTCATCCCGTGGGTGTCGTAAGAGCCGACTAAGGGAACAAACTGCACAGGCCAACAGCACTGCAAAAAGAAGGAAAACTTGAAACAAACCCTATACCAACCCGTCTGGCCATCTTGGTATAGAAGGCCAAAACCCCCTTTCTAAGGAGAGGCCTATGTCCAGCAGTGGACTATTATAGGCTGTTGATGATTGATGAAATTTGTTTTTACTAAAATCTTGTATACTATTTGGGATTTTATTATAGAATTGGAGACATTGACCTCGACAAGTGACTTCTTTATCTTTTTATTTCTATTTCTGGTATTAAAATCATGTTTTCAAGAAGCTATCTTTGTTTTTATGAACAAACCAGCTGACCCTGCAAACTTCGTTCCTCCTTGCAGTCGGAGAATGAGCAGAATTTGGATTTTAAAATGCATTCAAAATTATTAAGTTTAATTTTTTATTAGGATAATAAATATAAATAAAATATAAATTAAAAAAGGCAAGTATTTTAATGACGTGCCAATAAGACATTTGCTTTATTGGCCATGTATTTTGGTGCATGGGTTGCACTCTTCAGTGAAGCACCGACATTTTTCGTTTGTTATCAGGCGCAAGAACAAATAAAGCAGATGGATTTCCGACCCGTGAACATGCCACCATGAGACAAACATGCATTTTCTATATTCAGACTAAAACATTCAAGGATTGGCCTTGTGATTTTTTAATCGTCATGGCGAATGCTGTCAGAAATTGATGTCGTTTAAACTTAAACGGCTTATCGTTTGGATCATCGGAATCCTCGGAAGGATAACTTCCTCACCGTTTAAATTTCCTTTGCGGGCACCACCTTCGGGTCCATTCTCTATTTAGGTGACGTCCGGCACACGTGGACGTTGCCTCCTCGCGACGTCGCCTCCGGTGGAGGGGAAAGCCCGTCCCTTTAACCCGTGGCCACACTCAGGCGGCCAACCTTTCAACGCCTGAGTGCCATTACTGCGATGGCAGGAGCGTGGTCACGGCGCGTTGCAGAGCAGAGGCGTTGCCTCGTGGCGGCCATCGGGGTAGGAATTCTCACGTTCGGTAACATGAATGCCGCCATGGTACGGAGCCAGAGTTCGTGGAACTCCGCCCTCTCCTTCTGCGCGCTGCTTCTGGAGCGGGACCGGGAGAGGCTTAGAACTCTCCCGGCAACGGGCCAGGTACATCAGACGACTCAGGCACCGGAGGTCGCAGAATGAACAACACAATCAAAAGCTTTAGTTAAATCGCAAAATATACCTAGAGAATCGTGGGCATCCTCCCAGGCATCAAATATAATTTTTATAAGTTCAACACTAGAATCAGTAAATTATTATTATTAAAATAACTTTTTTGCCAAATACTGGCAGTACTGAAATAGGCCAATAGTTAGTTGGGTCAGATGTACTACCAGATTTAAAATTTAGTAACTTAAATTCACTATCAATCCTACCAACATTATCTTTTAAAATTGATTCTGCAAGACATGGTGCGGAGTTCAAAGATTTAGAAGCTGATATTGGTAAAAAAGTTCTCAAATGCGGCAGCAACCTCAGCACTTGATGTAATTAATTTATTGTTTACATTCAGATTAAATTCATTATCACAGTATTGGTTTTTTCCAGTTTGATTGTTAATAATTTTCCAAGTAGTTTTAATCTTATCATTGCTACTTTTAATCTTTGAACTTATAAAACGGGACTTAGCCAATTCACAGAGTTTCCTAAACTACTTCGAATATTCTTTAACATAATTATCTCATCATATAGCTCATACAATCTTTTCCTACTTTTAAGTAAGCCAGTGGTAGCCCATTCAGTAAATGTGGCGTTACCTTTAACTACTATGGTTGTTGGTGTAGAAGTGGTGTTAAATGTTGAAGAAAAAGTTTCAAAAAAGCTATTATAATAAGTGTTAGGGTTATTGTCTACGCATAGTTCTGAAATATTGAAAGCAGCTTTAAGTTTATATTTTAAAGTTTTCACAACGCTTTGCAGTTTTAGGTATCACCACAATCCTTTTTTCTGCCACCTTTTCATATTTATCACAGAGTTACTAATTGACCACAGTGGTCAGAGTGTTATTGATTGATTGTTTTCTTATCCTTAATTATAATGCCTGCAAATACATTGTCCAAACATGTGGCAGTGGTCGCAGTGATTCGTGTAGGCTCCAAAAACAAGTTCTTCACATTGTCTGATTGAAATAGTGCTTTGAACTTCGTTACAATACCTACTTGACTTTTCTAATAGGTTAATATTAAAGTCATCACAAATAATGACCTTCTTTCTTGATTTTGTTACTCTAACTAAGAGTTTATCAATAACACGTTCAAAACAATCATACGTAGCTGAAGGGGGTCGGTAAACACATACTACTATGAAAACCTTAAATTCTATACAGGCTATTTCAGTAGTTCGCTCAACTGATAGATTAACAATGTCGTGGCGCTCTTTAAATTTAAGTTTCTTCTTTATGTATTGCTGTACCTCTGCTGAACGAGCTGCCTACCTGGTGGTGATCAAAAATGAACGTGAACTGATCTTGTTTAAGGAAATGTTCAGTAATACAAAAAATATCAATCGCATTGCAGTTGCAGATGCCTGTGTCCATCAAATGTTGTTGATGTGATGATAGTGTGAAATACATACAAACATATTCAACACAGAAAACACCCACACTTCCTTAAAACAAATATTTAATAATAATAATATAATATTTCGGACATCTGACACATAACGCCATCTAGTTTCAAACTAGGCAGAGCTTGTACTATGAAAACTAGATTGACTGATAGGATACCTATATACTTTTTTTGTAAATACATATATAGAAAACCAAACTCCTTAAAACAAATATTTAAAGATCATACAAACATTTGGTTCACCCGGGAATCGAACCCGAGACCAGTCGCATACGCATGGTACGCATACCACTGTACCACCGAGGCAGTCATGCAGCATCTCTCTCAACTTTAATGATAAAAATAAAACAAACTTTTATCAGACAATTCATTTATCGATTTTTTTTTACCGTTGAAGAGCTATTCTTGAACAAAGAGCTATTCTATGGGCTGGCCATATTAGCAGCAGAACCGACAACCGTTGGGGTAAACGAGTTCTTGAGTGGAGAACGTAGTGTAAGACGCCCACAGGCCAGGTGGAGTGACGATCTGC